AGAGAGAGAGAGAGAGAGAGAGAGAGAGAGAGAGAGAGAGAGAGAGAGAGAGAGAGAGAGAGAGATATTGAGATTTAAAGTGCATTTATAATATTCATTGACAGGTTGTAGATATCTTAATGAAAATAAATGGAATCTAGCTAGGTACTGACTGACAGTGAGAACTATTAAGCAGTGGAACAGCTTGCCTCCTGTAGTTGTATGTTTTCACATCGCTGGAAGTTTTCAAGAAAAAAATGGACAACCATTTGTTTGAGATGTATGAGGACTCCAAAGTCCCTTCTAGCCCTATGATTCTATGGTTCCACGTTTCTCACAGTAGCCAATGGAAGGCCCATAAGGAACACACTAAGCTACACTTATTAACTCCAGCAAATGGTATTAGAAACCTATTGCCTCCTTTACTGGAAGTAATATGTCATCATTATAATTAATAATTCCATAGTCCTTGAATTAACATCATCACCTTTTAAAATTCTTCCATATAATAAAATAACAAATTACAAATGCTAAATATACTTTCTATGAAGAAAGATTTTCTTTTATCGGTACTATATCATACATAGGTTTATATATCCTTACTATGTTCTACCTGTTCACATTTTAAATAAATATTTTAAAATGCTTTCTCTTAATCCTATTTTTCTCTGGGTTTCCCAATTTTACAATATCATTTTTGAATTATAAGCAATATTCTTAGTGTGGCTGCACAGAAGATTTTCCTTGAGCTCTGTCATCATCCTACCAAATCCCATTTTAGGAGGATAGCCATGTTAGTGACATTGCATAAAAAAACCCATAATCTTTACTTTATGCCTTTTAATAAAATTTGCTAATCAGAAAAGGTGCAACAAGATTTCTTCTGATTTTCTGCTAAGACCCCTTTCTGATTAATTATAACTAGTCCAGATCCCATATCAATATATTTGAAATTTCCTGTCTTTCGTATGTCACTTTGTGATACTTTAAATTTGTTATCACTGAATATCATCTTCAGAGTTGGTCAACTCATTAATTAATTCAAACTCTGGATTACTTATGAACAAATTAAAAATTACTAGTTCCAATATAGTAACAGTCCTAATAGATGAAATCATCTTTTGTCTATACAATTGCTAGAATTGGACAAGTTTAAATAGATATCATCATCATCATCATCATCATCATCATCATCATCATCCCTTTTAATAGTTCCTCTTTTCTATCAAACAGTCATCTGCACTATTGGATAAGTAAGAAATTTGTATAGCTTACTTGTTAGACTGGATTCTCATTTTATAGGTGGTTGTTTTAACCATGTCTGAAGCAAGAGCTATTGAGTTCCACAGGCTTTATTCCCAAGTGTTCCACAGCCTTTACATTTTCCCAGTCCAGTCTGCAGCAAGTTGCAGTTATGCCAAAATGCATATGTGCCATGCTTACCTGCCTACATCCTAACATCTGATGCAAATGAGTATGTCATGACATTTGCTCCCCTGCAAATGATTATGTTCCTATATATAAGCAAAACCGATTTTAACTCAATTTCACCCTTTAGGAAACTCATTTTTTAAAAGCAGACTCTTGCATATCATTACAGCTGCTATGCTCATTACAATTTTTATGCCACAATTTTTGCATTACAACAATCGTGCTAACACTGCCTTTTTAATATTCCATTTAACATTTTATTTCATACTGCTTCTTTTTCACTTCAGAAAACATTCAACATTTCTTTACTTATTCTTGAAATGAGAAGTATCACCCTACCTCATTACACACATCTTACCAAAAGTCTTTTGTAGTGGCAGCACTGTACTTGTAATAAATAGTGATTGGCTTGGAGGACTATAACCATAAAATAAGGCCCTAGAGGCTGAAAGGTTGTTCAGACTATGATATAATGGCATAAGGCAGGGGGAATGACACAGCTTGTACATTAATCTAGTATCCATTTGCATCAGCTACTATTAGAAGGCATAGAAAGCTGATGACAGCAGCCAGACCCACTACTTCTCCTTGTCTTCTAACTTTCAGGTAGGATAATTGCAAGAGTAGATCCCACGGTGTGTGTTTTCTTTTACAACACTAATCATCCTGCCTTGGTTGCTTCCCAATCTTTTATATAGAGGAACACACAGAAACAGAGAAATTGAATCAAAAAAGAAAATGAAGAGAAAAATCAGGAAAGGGATATGTGGGTTACTCACTTCTCTTTGGTTATGTCCAGAGTAGTGGGACTTGGCTCAAAAAAATGTTTA